GTCACTGAATGACGTGAAACAGTTCGTGTGAGTGAGTTGGTGGATTATAGGAATGTGAGCGCACCTAGGATCGTTTTTCACTGGATACACGTCTACCTTTAGTCGCGTTCAGTAGGATTAGTCATATGTTTAGCAAAGTTTGCCTAACGTTCCGATTCACACATCTGGGTGTAGATTGAACTGAAAGTGACACCACATAACAGCGTTCTGCAAAGATAGATGAACTTGTTTTGTTTTTAAGAGCACTGGCGATTATTCGAATTTTTCCGATTAAACCATCATCCCACATGGTAAGAAAAACATAGTAGCGAAGAAGCTCATTTACAGTGATTCGTCTACATGTGAATACATCACAATTTACGTCAAAATGTTTAGAAGAGGGACAAATCATGACAAAATGGGAAGAGAAATAATCGAAATGCCACCAGTGTGAGAAACATTTGATTATGACCGGATGATCATCATACGCACATTGGTTCGGGTCATTACGGGTGAGTGGGGGGATAACTGTGTTGTGTGGGTGTTGTCCATGGAAGACCGAGTGTTCTTACGAATTGGCTTTGGGAGCATAGTCGGGAGGGGTTATGTAGGCGGATTCTGATAGCCTCCGCTGTAATCTGAATGTGACTCCTAAGCGCGGCCATTCATCTAAAGGTTTGATTATGGAAACCAGCAACCTAAGCTCCAAGAGTAAAAACGACGAACCACATAGGACCTCACTAGCATAGACCTGTTATTGAGTTAGACGACAATGGAGCTACTTACCACCAAGTTTGAGTGAAGGGGTTCGATCCTTGGACCCTGGGAGCAAAAGCACAGATGAGTGACTTAAACGGCTTGACTACCACCACCACCCAATATTGATTACCTGGATATTATTCAACGGGATTGTTGCATCCGAACCACTGCAAATATCGGCCTGCCAAATAGGGTATACTAAAAGTGGGTTAATTTACATGTCACTACATGTGAACGTTTACATCTCCGATCAGCACCATAAAGTTGAACTTGTGTGGTGTTTTTCAGAACTAACTGCATATGTCCACAGTGTAACAAATGAAAATTTTACCAGTAAGTAGCCCAGCCCACCAAACAACATCTTGCTCATGAGCAAATCATAACTTTTGTTCATCCAACCAGAATGTAAAATATGAACCCGAAAACCAAATCATTTAAACATGGAATGAACTACACACTACCCGAAAAGAGGAACTACAGCTAATGATTGAATACCACTTGGACTAGGCTTCATAAGTGAACACAGGAATCTTATGATATCTGAAGGAATTAGTCCCTCCCATTGTTCATCACACGAAAGTGTGCCACGCGAAAACTCATGGTTAGTAGTTGTGTAAAGTAAATTAAGCTGAGCCGAACTGTGCAGAAAACAAATGAAATTCAGACGAATGGGATAAAAAGACGTCAATCGTTTTCAATATAACTGACGAAAGAGGGGCACTCACCTGCAATGAAACACACATGTGGATAAAATCATCGAATGCAACCACACCTCGGTGCGTGCGATCGAACCGGTTGACCATCATACGAATAAAGTTCGGTGACAGATTGTAGCCGAACGAGCGCAAAGCGGTTTGCAATTCCCGTGCATCAATTGTGCCTGAACCGTCTCGATCGAATCGTTGGAATACAGAACGCCACTGCTGAACATAATCGACCAGCTGACCGAACTCGTTCAATTCGATTGTGCCACTATGGTCCCGATCAAACATGCACATCATTAACCGTACGGTGTTTCGGTTAAATGGAGTACCGATGCCTGACAAAATTAATGAGATAACAAGGAGGAAACAGCTAACAGTGGTAACTGGGAACACCACTATTCTTGGTCGATCACGTTGCGTCGTGACTGGTCGCTATCTGGCATTATCGTCCTGGAGTGAAGCTCAATATAGACGGCTGAAACAAAACTCAGTCGAAAGCACATGGTAGATTATCATTATCAAAGCACTCCACCCTTCAAGCATTGCATGGGTTCCTTATTGAATTCAGCCTTCCTCTTGAAAGTTAAATGTGCATTCACACTATCATTCTCAATAAACCATCAACAGTTAGTTCACAGAAATGAGTAAAACAGGCTTATTATGAATTAAAAGAGCCATAGATAAGTGGTGCTCATCAGTATCAATTGACATCCAATTAACTGGGGAGTGATTAAAAATACTGAAATTGCCATTCGGCATTAAATGAAAATTTGTGTGAGGTTACTCAAATGATCCGCAACACAATGTCTTAACGGGGTTTATGTGTTTTGCTTACAATGTGCTATTATTAATTAAGGCATACATATCCATATGTACGCAAATCATGTTTTTTTTTAATTTGAATAATTCGAGCAGAACCATTCCTTCAGAATAGGGCAGATACGAACTGCCCGTTTAAGGTAATAGCTCTGGATAGAGCTCCCCCGAATGCAGCTAATAAAATGGAGACTTCACATTGTTTTATATAGAAAGCCTCCAAAAGCCTCACTATGGTAGCGGTGGGTGTCTAGGGTTGCGGCTGGTCACCATTCCCTTGCACCTTGCGAAATGCTCCCATACGACCAAGCGTCTCGAATAGTCTATGCTGAGGAAACCCTACTCACTGCCTTCTCGTGGCGGAGGTGTGTTCCCACCAAAGTGAGAGGACGAAAAGCTGACACCCGGGGCTATAACTGGGCTGGTGGACCACTGGGGAGTTGGCCAAAAGCCCTGATCGTAGACCAACCAAGAGGAGGCGTACGAACCACACCCACACCTTTTCGGTTGTGGCAGTGGTCATCAGCTCGATTGGGCATTAAGGTGTATTGAGCACCTTGGACATTTGACCCCGTCCGAAGGGTGTATGATCCGATGAACTGGACACCAGCTCCCAATGGACTGCGGTTTTTACACACCGCCCCGCTGCCCTGAGGGTTAGGCTTTGGCTAACCGAAGGCTCCGGTTGTTAATTCCTCACGAAAATTCACCTGCCTTGACCTGGACACCCTGGCAGTATTCAGCACACAAGCCAACCATGGCACGCTTTTCTTTCTTCTAAAGATTATTGTACCTGGCACAGAGTCTGTTCTCAGACAAGTGTGAAATATAATATTATAATAATATAGGAAGCCTACAATAGCAGGAGCCTCCGAAAGCTTCAGTACGGTCGATGTTGTATGTCTCGGGTTGTATTTGGTCACCCCTTCCTTGCACCTCGCAAAATGCGCGCCCAAGACCAACCGTCCCAAATGGCCTCTACTGAGGAAGCCCTACTCACTGCCGGTATGTGGCGGTTTTTTCTCAGCGAAGTGAGAGGATG